TTTTTTATTAGCCGGTGGAGGAGCATTCTATTTCGCCAAGAAAGATATCGATGCTCGGAGAAGAGCCCAAGAATTGGCCAAGACTAGGCCGACCGAAAAACTAGAATGTGAGCTTATCTCTAAAATATCCATGCATTCATACCTTATCACCCACTACTTTATTATGTTCAATTTTTTTGTTAGGGTGGCAAAAAGTGGCAAAAGATGAAGTTTTAACAAATAACGATGACGGAAATACAATGTCACAGGTTTTTGCGGCGGATACGTCTTCTAATAATAGCAGAAGCCAAACCTCAAACATCGTGCGACCTGAGAGTGGAGATACGCGTAGAGGCGTATGATTATTGATAATTGCGAAAGCAATCGGAATTTAGCAAACATGGATAATAACAATTTTTCGTACTTTATGAATCAAGTAAAGGCCGGGTTGTATATTTATTTGAAGAAAAACGTATGAAATGAAAATGTGATGCATGCCTCATTACATTCCCATGTATACATTTTTTAATAATTAGATAGTGACAAAACACAGTTAAACTTTATCTTTTCACTGAGATGATAAAAGTCAAAAGAACTACTAACGTCATTATAATCACCCATCATGCATATTTTTTAACCTTCGTCTCACCATGCAATTCACCAAATTTGAATTACTGCATAAATTGTTTTGTTACAAATTAATAATACATATCGTATAAATATGCTGCGTACTTTATTTATTTAATCTTCCGCTGTTTTTAACTTTTATATATGTTCATATCATAAATGGGTTCAGCTTATTCAAAACAAGGTTCACAAAATTTCTACCCTAGCCCATCATCACTATTAGCAGAAGATTGGACTGCACATTTTAATTTGCCTGCAAAACGTATCACCCGTTGTCCATTGTGTTTCCATCAACGCACTTGCAAAGGTTACTGGTGTCAGAATTGTGAATCACGAAGATTTAGAGAATTGTTTTCCAGCTGGGGTAGTGGGAATAGTGAAATCGATGGGTTCATCCAGGAAACTCAATTAAATAGTACCTGGTGGGCAGGATATCTGGAATGGATACCATTTAGTAGATTCCAAAACGTAAAGTTTATTGCCAGAGGAGGATCCGGAAGTATTTATTACGCTATTTGGGTGGATGGTCCAAGGTGGGAATATACACCCAATGCCGAAGGATTATTTGGGAGTATGTGGAAGAGGAAGGGTTCATGTAAGGTGGCGTTGAAGATGTTGGATGGCTTTAAAGAATCAAGCGTAGAATATCTGAACGAGGTGTGTATGTGAGGTTCAACATCTTTGTAAATTTTGCATACCATCTCACCATCAATCTCATTTTATTGTTAGTTAAGAGCGCATTATAAATGCATTTCATCCGGTTCAGTGCTTACCTGCTATGGAATCACCCAAGATGAAACCACCAATAATTACATGTTGGTCATGGATTATGCTAAACAAGGAGACCTTACACACTTCCTGCGACATAACATGGTAAATTACGACTGGTATAGAAGAGTCCGTGAGCTATGGTACATTGCTAGAGGTCTCAAGGCAATTCATGATGCGGATTTGGTGCACAAAGATCTGCATAGCGGAAATATCTTATTCAACACTTTCACGAGGTAGCTTTGTTTTTTCTTTTCTTTTTTGAAGAATATCGGAAAGAGGATATCACGAATTCCGATGTGTTCATTGACTTAAGGGAAATTTTCTGATACAATAGACGACCGGCCATCGGAGACCTTGGACTGTGCCGCCCAGTAAAAGAGTCCTCAAGTGGAAATGTGGTGCTGGGCGTATTGCCATATGTCGCTCCAGAAATTCTCCGCGGAAATGCTTACACAAAAGCGTCGGACATATATAGCTTCTCAATGATAATGTGGGAAGTATCGACGTTGAAAAAACCATTTTCAAATGTTGCTCATGATGCATCATTAGCATTAGAAGTCACTCTCGGCATGAGGCCGGCAATAGCTCCAGGAACTCCCAAAAAATATGCTGAGTTGATGAAACTCTGCTGGGATGTTGATCCGGTGAAACGTCCCAGTGCCGAGGAACTGGTGAAAAAACTCGAAGAGCTAATGAATGACCGAAACATCAATAGTTCGACACCAAAAATTGATATTGAAGAGATGCCTACTCATCCCGAAGCTTGTTTTACTAGCAGGATTTTGGAATTTCCACATCTAGAAGACACAAAATATGAGTTCAAAGAGGTGGATCTGCAATCTCAGGAGCGATTGCACATCGGTAGTTATTCTTTATTTTGTGTTTAGCACCTTGATGACATCAATAATAATGGTATT